GACACCCTTGGTCCCACGGCTCATCTGCGCAATGGCGGTGGACAACAGGGAACGCCTGGATGGAAGCAGGTCTTGGAGGAAAGACAATGATAATGACCCTGCAGCTTCGGCCACCATGGCTTAGAAACCCTTAGATATCCATGTTGTTCTGATCCCAACCAAGAAGCCGCCTCGTCCTCTCCTAACAGGAAACTGGCTCTTCCAGAGTTTCCATATGGCGAGTGCCAGCACTATTCACCCAGTTTCCTCAGGCCAGACTGGGGTCACCCTCGTGCCTCCCGCACCCCAACCCACACATGACGCGCTGTGCAGTCGCTGTAAGTTGCTTCTCGTCTCTGGTCCCCGCCAGTCCTGCGCTGCTGTCTACTCTAAAGCCAGCGTCAAGCGCTCAAGTTGACACGACAGTCACGAGGCCCTGCTGTCCCAGCCTCCCTCCTTCTCCAGCCCACCCTCCTCACAGGGGCCCGGAGGGGAGCTGGCAGCACATGGTCTGGCAGGCGACTCCGTGAGTACACCCCTCCCATCCCATCCAGCGCCGCTGGCTCCTCCGAGCTCTTCGATGCACGGGACTTCCCTGCTCTCAGGACCTTATGGAAGTGTACTCTCTTTTCTGGATCCTTCTTCCATCTCTTGTGGTAGGAAACAAGGGGCTGGCAGCCCCCTCAGCCTTTAGGTTTCCAGCTCAAGCAACCCTTCCTCAAGATCTTTACAGAAACAAAAATACCTCCCAAACACATCTTTCCGTGCGATCACAATATTTCCATAATTATGATCAATTATGTCCATTACTATTTAATGTCTACACAATAAAATCCATGAGGGCAGGGACCATGCTGGCGTCCCTAGCACCTAGGCACATTCTTGGAATAGATAGGCAGGCCCACTAGTATTGTTGAAAAACAATGTAAGAACCTGAAGCTCAGAGAGTTAGGTAATTTCCTAAAGCCCACAACGGGAAGTGACTGGATCAGTTCCATCAGGTTTGTCGGTACCGAGATGGTAGTCTCCTCCCGATCTCAATGTACTCCCTGGCTGGGTTAAAGGGCTTGGGATGACCATCCGAGATCAACTGCGCAATTTAGTCCATAATCTGGACTTGCCGGAACTGAGGACCTGGAACTTAGAACCTCTGGCCAGAGCCCCGATGGACTTGTGAAACTGACACCTCTGCGTTCTTAGCCGTCCGTGCCCTTGGTTCCTCGACACCGTTGTCTTGCCCATCCTGTTTATTGTGAAGACACCTGTAAAAGCTGTTTGGAGTTTTTCTCCACTTGTAAAGCAAGCATTCATATTGTATCTTCTTTACATATACCACATTTTATTAATCCATTCTTGGATTGATGGGCACTTGGGCTGTTTCCACAGCCAGGCCTATTTTAGAACGATGACTTTGGCCCTAGTGATGGATGGGTGGTGTGGTTGGGGGAGGGTAGCAGGTGGGGACCAGAGACAGGAGAACAGAGAAGAGGCTGCTCCAGTCATCAAGGCCCCAACTCTAGGCAGTGGCAGTGGGAGGAGAAGGAGTGGGAAGGGACTTAGGACGCAGGCCGGGAGGAGCAAGAGGATGTCTCTCCAGTAGGGAGTGGGCCATGCAGGACAGGGAGGGAACGGGCCCCAGAAGAGACACAGCTCTGCAGGAAGTGATGACCGCCCATCTCTGCTCAGACCCCCATGATGAGTGTGAGTCCTGGGGGCAGACAGGGCAGTGGCTGTGGGCCTGGACACCCAGAGGCCGTGGGGCAGGGAGTCAGCGGGGCGAAGTGGGAGCTCATTCCACGGAACAGAGAAGGCTGGGGACAGAAGGGACATTTAAGGAGCAGGAGGAGCAAAGGCACCGAGAGGAGAGAAAGGGCGGTCGGGAGGGAGGGGATCTCAGTGGGAAGCGAGCAGGTCACCAAAGAGAGGCGTCGGGAGGGGACGCCTGGAGCCGGCTCCGGAGCTGCGGGAGGGTGAGGCCCGGCCGGGCAGCCACTCTGCGTGGAGGCGTCCCAACCAGGCCCTTGGTCCCACGGCCTCATCCTGCGCATCGGGTGGACAACAGGGAATGCTGGATGGAAGCAGGTCTTGGAGGAAAGACAATGAGATAATGGCCCTGCAGCCTTCGGCCCACCATGGCCTTAGAAACCCTTAGATATCCATGTTGTTCTCAATCCCAACCCAACAAGGCCTCCTCGTCCTCTCCTAACAGGAAACCCGGCTCTTCCAGAGTTTTCCATGTGGGCGAGTGCCAGCACTATTCACCCAGTTCCTCAGGCCAGGGACTGGGGTCACCCTCAGCGCCTCCCGCACCCCACACCCACCCAGTGACCGGCCTTGCAGTCCTGCTAAGTGGCTCTCGTCTCTGTCCCCGCCAGTCACTGCCGCTGCTCTACTCTAAGCCATGTCGAGCTCCAAGTTGACCACAGCCACGAGGCCCCTGCTGGTCCCCAAGCCTCCTTCTTCCTCCAGCCCACCCCTTCCTCACAGGGGCCGGAGGGGAGCTGGCAAGCACACGTCTGGCCAGGCGACTCCGTGAGACACCCCCTCCCTCCCATCCCAGCCGCGCTGGCCTCCTCCCAGCTCTTCCGATGCACGGAGCATCTCCCTGCTCCAGGACCTTTGAAAGTGCTATTCTCTCTTTCTGGATCCTTCTTCCCTATCTCTGTGGTAGGAAACAAGGGGCTGGCCCCTCCTCAGCCTTTAGGTTCCAGCCTCAGCAACACTTCCTCAAGGATCTTTACAGAAACAAAATACCCCCCAACACACATTTTCCGTGCATCACATATTTCCCATAATTAGTTGATCAATTATGTCATTATCTATTTAATGTCT